TTCTTGCATTCTTGTTGCATAAATTTTGGTTTTATTCAATTTAAATACCGGAGTTTGTAAACCAAGTTTAGTTCGCTGTTTCTTGTGTGTTGTAGCTACTTGTATAAGAAGATAATCGTTGTATCTTGGGAGTTGATTGCCAAAAACTGTACGCACCATTGCGGGGCAAATTCGACTCAAGAATAAAATGTTCAACACTTACCTTGACTTTAATATTATTGTTACTATATTGCACATTTTTGAGGATTTATTTGGAGTCCATTTCCTACAATTACTCTGTCGAAATTTTTACAGAATTTTAAAGGCCATTTGAAGAATTTCCCTGCATTGTTTGTCACTCCATACATGAAATTTTTCAACAATCTTAAGTTAAATATTTGTTGGAGTGACTTTGATCTTCGATTAAATCATATGTTGGTTTATTTTTTCTACTCTTCTATTGATTGTTGATCTTTTGTTTTGTGCAAACATAAATGACTTCGGTTTTCAATACCGATACTACTTCGAATGAAACTTCGAATATGGGAACTTCGAAAGGAAGTGTTCCTAATGTGGCGACTCCTCCGGTTGTGAATGCCATTACCAATTCTGTTCCACATGGAGAGAAATCGGAGAAATTCAACGGGGACTGATTTTAAGAAATGGTAACAGAAATGTTGTTTTATCTCACGACCCTCAACTTGGCGAAATTCTTGAATGAAGATGCTCTGCCGTACAAGAAGGGAAAAACAATAGGACTCCGTTGATTGCTCAAGATGTATGGAAACATTCAAATTTTCTACGTAAGAATTACATTCTGAATGGATTGGACAACTCGTTGTACAACGTTTATAGTTCCAAGAAATCTGCAAAGGAACTTTGGGAGTCCTTGGAAAAAAATACAAGACTGAAGACGCCAGAACTAAAAAGTTCATTGTGGAAAAGTTCTTGGACTACAAAATGGTAGATTCTAAGATTGTCACCAGTCAAGTGCAAGAATTACAGATTATCCTACATAATGTTCATGCGGGAAATATGTCTCTAAGTGAATCATTTCAAGTGGTTGCAATCATTGAGAAACTCACGCCTATGTGAAGGGACTTCAAGAACTATCTCAAACATAAGCGCAAAGAAATGAACATTGAAGAACTTGTGGTCCGATGTGTTGGAAACAACATACCAAAAGCAAAGGCCAATGTGGTGGAATCCAACAACAAAAGCAAATAAAGGAAGCATTCTGTTGAGTCTTCAAGAAAGAACACAAAGAAGTTCAATGGCAATTGCTACAATTGTGGAAAGCTGGACATCGTTTCGTCGATTGTCTCAAATCGAAGAAGCAAGCCCAAACAAATATCACTGAATCTGATACCGTATCAAACGATATATCAGACATGAATTTGTTGGCGATTGTATTCGAATGCAACAATGTTGGAATCCTATGGAATTGTGGGTTGATACAGGTGCTATTCGTCACATATGTGCCGATAAAGGAATGTTTACTTCCTATACTTCAACTGAGGGAGATAAGTTATTCATGGGGAACTCCTCAACTTCAAAGGTTGAAGGACAAGGCAAAGTGATATTGAAGATGACACCGGGAAAGAGATTTAGCCTCAACAATGTTCTTCGTGTGCCGGATATTAGCAAGAACTTAGTTTCGGGTTCTTTGTTAAGCAAGAATGACTTTAAATTAGTCTTTGTATCGGATAAGTTTATATTTACCAAGAATGACATGTATATAGGCAAATGCTATGTAAAAGATGAACTATTCAAAATGAATGTCCTTACTATTGTACTGAATAACTCGATGAATAAAACGTCTTCTTCCACTTATATTCTTGAGTCGTCTAATTTATAGTATCATAGATTACGATATGTAAACTTCAATTCAATATGGAAATTGATGAATGGGAATTTACTTCCAAGCATGCATTTCAATAATGGAAAATGTGAAATATGTGTAGAGGCAAAATTAGCCAAACCAACAGTTCATTCGGTTGAATGAACTACAACACATTTGGAACTTATTCACATGGATATGTGTGACTTAAAGTTCATACAAACGAAATGTGGTAAAAAGTACTTTATCATATTCATAAACAATTGTACAAAATACTGTTATATATACTTGTTGAGAAGTAAAGATGAAGCATTGGAAGTGTTTAAACACTATTAAACTGAAGTTGAAAATTAACTTGGAAAACGAATAAAAACAATTCGTAGTTATAGAGGTGGAGAGTATGTTGCACCATTTGAAGAGTTCTGTGCAAGACAGAATTGTTCACCAAGCTACTGCTCCATATTCACCTCAATCTAATGGGGTTGCGGAACGAAAGAATTGAACCCTTAAGGAAACGATGAATGTCATGTTGATCAGTTTAGGCTTACCTTAAAACTTGTGGAGGAAAGCTATTCTTTCGGCTAATCATATCCTAAATAAAATACCACACAAGGATAAGGCCGATTCTCCTTATGAGTTACGGAAAGGTCAGAAACCCTCCAACAAGTACCTTAAAGTGTAGGGGTATTTAGTAAAGGTACAAATACATAAGCCTAAACAAGTGAGAATTGGACCTAAGACAATTGATTGTGTTTTTATCGGATATGCTACTAATAGTAGTACATATCGATTTTTGGTTTATAAATCTGAATTACTTGATGTACACGAAGGTACAATCATTGAATCAAGGAATGTTTTTTCTTTTAAAATATATTTCCTTGTAGGGAAAAGGAAACAAGTTCACACAAACAAACTTATGATGAAAAAGATTATGGAAATCTT